GCTCCCTTGACGTCACATTGTCACGCTACAGGTCGGGAATGGCGAGTACACTATTTCTGTTATTGTATTAGAAATCATTGAGAAATACATGTTTATATGTGTATGTAATACTCGTAGCTAAAAACCATTAAAAGTTTTTGTTCACTTCAGTTGTGCTTTGAGAAGACGGAGGAGCGTAAAACTAACCTTGTTAATATAAAATGTGTCCCCTTTCTTTTAAAGGTCATCCTCGCCTTTTGTGCTCCAAAAAGATCTTTGAACCATAAGTAGGGGGCACAGCAGGACTAGCGAGGGAGGTTCAGGGGTTGTCTGACCAGGGCTCTCAGCAATTATTCGTTTTCTCTGTGATTTGTCTTACTGATGTGTCTGGAAATTGCTAAGATGGGATGGACCCAGACTCTGGCCTCCAAAGCTCCTGGGTGGTCAGTCTATCAGCAGACACAAACTATCTCCCTCAGCATCAGTGTCACACCACAGCCCTAATCTATTTGGCAAGCAAACGACATTATTGTCATTAGTCTCTGGAGGCCTCCTGTGGGTCAGGAGTAGCTTGTTTAGTTTCTGAGGCAGACAGGGTTGGTCCACAGAGAACAGGAGGGTGAGGGTCACTGTCTAATGTGGCTTCATGACTGACTGTTCTCTGACATTAGAGGGTGTGAGAGCCTTGCTCCACAATAATATATGCATGTGTTAGACAGCTCAGCCTTTATAGCTATTGTTGCTATGGTGTTGTCAAGTGAAGTTGCTGACAGATGTTGGACTAGGCTGAATGAAATTCTGATGTCTGAATTTAATATGGCCTGGGCGTTGCTTTGGTATCATTTATAACCAAACAAAGATAATTGCTGGAAATGTGTGACTGTGTATTTGCTTTAAGCATGAGGCTTTTAAAGAGCCATCACAAAAACTATTTGAGGGTGTTTCTTCTTTGACATTTATATTATGCACACGTGTAAGTTATCAGGAGGAGAGGTCCTGTCTAGAGCAGTGATAACTTCTCACATGCATGTCCTGTGGACCTGTATATGAACACCTTCTCCTCAACTAGAATAGAAACACACTGTGTACAAAGAATTAACTATATGCAGAGAATGAGATAACCAGCTATAAATACCTAAAGGAAACAAAAGAAATAGATGACAAGAGTCAAAAGTGGTGCAAAGACATCTGGACCCCTTACAGCCATACCCCATATCCTGGCAAAGAAACCAGCATCAGCCTTACATTTCATCAGACCACTACCACCGCAAGCAATTAGTTCAGCATGGCTTATATCTCGCCCTGTCTCTCTCGTTGTGGGAAAGACGACCAATTAGGCAGCGGAGGGGAACGCAGGCGGAGAGAGCCAAAGAATGAGAGAAATGTGAACCCAAAGTGAAAGGCTGGAAAAAAATACCAGCCGCATGCTAAATAACAATGGACAACTTGAGTCAGTGAGGGGGGACTGTCGACAGCGCTCAGACCAGCCAGAGATGCAGTTGTTTGAGATCTTCACTCCTGTGCCATACTGGAAGGAACAGAATAGAACAGTGTGTGAGTGTGTGAACACATCCATGGGGAAGGTTTTCTATATCTTATGTGTGTGGCATGGCTGATGATATAGGTCACATATATAGGAATACAAACACTACACTAAGGGACAGATCACCACGCCCTAAAGGCATCCAAAGGTATTATGATAATATAAGCCACCCACCATCACTTCTCTCATATAGCCCCTAAAATACCGATGTTGATATGTTAGAAATAGAAATATCAGGTTACAATATATTAGCTGGTATTCATTTTCTCGTACTAGACAATTGACATTTTGGAAAAGGATCCCTTAAATTTGGACTGAGCCAAACACTTTACAGTTGAAAAATAAACTTGGCAGTGCTCTCGGTTTGTCTCTTTTCTCAGTCAGTGGTGCGTTGGCTTTTTTTTTCTGCAATTACTTACTTAGTTACCTATTGGCTGAAATATGGCAATACTGATATATCTGCAATAAACTTATATTGGCCAAAATACCGGGCCGTTGAATTATTGGTTGTACTTCATCTCTCATTTGGTTATCTCCTTTCTTTTTAATTAGGAAAGAGATCATTTTGTCTTGTCATAGCTGATCTTGTCAAGCACAGATCAGTGAAAGCACTGTTATAACATCAACAATAGCTTCGATCCATTCACGTGTCCTAGTAAGTTGCGACAGTGAAAACTTGAGTTTTAGTACTTTGAATTTTAATCATTTGAGAAAAAACACTAAGAATTAAGTTATTTGTGGCTTTTGTTATAAAAGTTAAACCTAACTAGATTCAGTAAGGCATTCAAATGATTCACATTCAGTGAAATTAGATTGTAAAAGACGGTCATCTTTTTACGAGGATAAAATTCCACCTGTAGTGGATATTACAAAGGAGAGGTGTTTTTCCCTTGGGTGGTGACTATAATAAAAACTGTAATATTTTCAGGTCCTGGGGGTAAAGTGCTTTGATGAAGTGTGAGTGAGCTTTTGCACATTTTTCTCTGCTTCCATAGTATCAGTGAAAAACAATGATTATCCTCTCAAGGCAGAATCAGAAACATATGCCTATCACAGTGTGCAATCTGTGGTAATAAAGCTTTTGTGGCTTTTGAACGCATGTAAATTGCATTAAGTCATCAAGAGAAAAGTGGTGATATGCTGTGAGGGCATACGCACTTGGGACTTGCGTTAGATCAAGGACTTTGAAAATTAGTGGTGAGGTATATAGGCTTCTTACCTCTTCCAAGTGCATTCCCTTGTGTCTGCTACATGTCACTCCTCCTCTGTGAGTCTGTCTCAAATCAGTTTTGAAGGTCCTCAGCTGCTTGATATTTGAATTTTTCGATGTTAAAGTTGGGGAGAATTTGTGAAACTGCAAAGGTTTTATCGCAAAATGACCTAATTTAAAAAGTCCGACTGTCTAACTACTTAACAATAGCCTTGTTCGGTCTTTGATTGTGTTTGTTATGTTTTTTCTCTTTCTTCCTGCATAATATAACTGTGACTTTATAAATTTCAGAAATTTGACCAATTTAGAGAATACTAAATAAATACGAATAACACATACAATGCACAACTTAGATGTAAACTCCTAATCAGAGATAGTTTGTTATAAAACGTGCAAACTGATAAGCTCAGTGAGCATGATGAAATAGTGTTTATATCTAGCTAATGAAGTGAAGCATAAGTCTGGCATTATTCTATATTTATCTTACTGTCAGCAAATCCCATGAAAAGACCAAAACCAACAATATGTCAGTCCTTATCTCAATACAGCCCTACTCTTTCTGTGGCCCTCAGGCCCAACTTAATTTGTTTTTGCTGAAGATGTTTAAAAGCAGGCTACGAATACGTTGTTTAATTTTTTTTAAATAGCTAGTTACATTTGTGAAACATCTGGGTACTGTAGTTTTTAGAAAATGTTATTCAAACAGGAGTAAGTATTGTATTTATTTGGGAACTATTTCCAGATGTGGATTAATACAAATTTGTTGCTCTAGTGAGTGGGATGAAGTGTGATACATTAATGTGTTTTTAATAGTTTTTGGACAACAATGGAGCTCTATGGCACACAGGAATAAACAGCATCAGGCTTTGGATACACAGACTTTGTTAATAGGATCAGCTCATTGTTGGTTTTAGTCTTTGGAATGTGTTGACAGTAAAAAAAACAAAAAACATTTGTACAACTGATTTGGATTTTGCCATCTGATTTCGTTTTTTTCCCTCATTTTTCCTCTTTCAGGGATGCTGGTGGTGATCGTACTGCTTCTCATAGCCATCGTAGTCATCGCCGTGTGGCCCGTGTAGCTGAGGACGGCAGTGATCACGGACCTGTGCTGAAGTACAGTTTGGTTCAGATTACCAGTTAAAAAACTTTGCATACACAGTGCACACACGTGTAGAGACTTATTTAAACATTGTCTCTCATCAGATTTTATTTTCTTATTCTTTCTCTTCCCATTGAGACAAAGGTCAGTGGTGACTGCCCAGCCAAGGCAATGTGAATTGAAAAACTTAAGTCCTTCAGCAGCACAGTTACTTTCTTTCTGTACAGTAAGTTGTTGGTTGGGTGAAACGCATTGGTAACCCTGCAGACATATTTTGCGTAGGTGTACATTGTCCTCTTTAATAGTTGTTCAAGTGTCTGGCTCATTTAATGTATAAAATAGTTAAATTATTTGGAGGTTTATGAGCCCTTTGAAAAATATTTTTAGCCTGGACTGTGGCAAATGTTGACCCAACAGTGGGACCTCCTGTAGGTAGCGGGAGCTTTCCTTTCATTAGCCTGTTTGTGGTCTGGGCTGAGGCTCTCACCGGGTACAGTAATTCTGCAAGCTTTGCAACATTCACACTCACTTATATTTACCCATGCATTGCTGTAGCAGCTGTAATGTTATCATTTGTCTTGGGATTTTATAACGTTTATAGAATAGCTCTCAGCCAAAACAAACAAGCTCTGCTGTGTTACTAACATGGCTGTTTTCCTTCCTTGTAAATCAATTCAGCTTGTAATTTCTAATAAATGACATTTTCAGTTAATAGTCCCTTGACTCCTGTCTGTCTGTGTTAATGCTCAGGGATTACTCTGCAGGATTGCAATGTTTTGTAACATGATATTTAGCTGGGGTTGACCTTTGACGAAGCTTGAACACACTACCACTTCTATATTTCCATTACTAAATCTGCATAATATTGTTTTCATAGTACTGTGCTTGTGGGAACCAATAAATGAAGAAAAGCTGACTATATGCCTTAATATTACTTAATAACTTAATAACTACACAAAAAGTTCAATAAACAAAAAACCTAATAACTAAACAAACAAAAAAGCAATTATTCAACTCAGCAGGCAAAGTGTTTTTCAATGTAATGAGTTTATTTCAACTGAAAATCTGAATTTAGTTCTACCAGGTTGGTGTGATCAGTAGTTATTATTTCCTTCTTTAATGGCAACAATCTAAACAACCACAAACATGTAAAAAAAAAAAAAATTGAAAAAGACAATAAAATCCACAATGTCTTGTGTCATTAAATATTCATATATAATAACCGTAATATATTAGTACGCATTGTAAAACAACATTGCAAAAAGTCTTGGCAATGGTGACTACTAAACAACATTTACAATTCATAGTATGAACACAAAGCAATGCTTTGACAGATACTGTATGTGTGTAGCGTTTCATCAGGAAGCTTGTCAAACCATTGCTCAGGAGACAGATGTAAAATTTACAGCATGAGGCTACAGAGACTAAAGAGGTGTAATTACAGATTACATTGTGCCAAACAGAAAAACATTGATATGTAATGGTATGTTGTAAGATTAACAATGATAGGCAGGAACATGTAAATATACTGTATATGTCTATGTGAGCATGTCGGTGAAGCCACCAGCACGTAGCATCATGATGGACTGACATCAAAATCACTTGATTGATTGTACAGTGAAACACTCCATCAAAATCTTAATGTAAATATTGAGAAGTACCTCAGCAACAAGGTCATCTGTTTCTTTTTTATCTTACAATTTAACCCAGGTGATTTTGGATTTCTCACGCTTTATAAAGCCACTCTCATTTGTCATCATCTAGGAGGCATTTCGCTCCATTCAGAAAATTCCTGCGCAAATGAGAAGGTTTCAGAGATAGTGGACTCAAAATTATTGCCATTTAAAACAAAGGAAGTAGAGCGTGCATTAGATTGAAACCATGTGTCGTGAAAAGATCTTAAAACCCTTTTTATTGTTACTTGTGCTGTGGGACAGTTTTTAAAAGGTGCTAAATGTGATTTTATCAAGTGGCAAATACTAGCAACATCAAACATGTTGCTCAAAGTGTTTTTTGGGATGGTTATGATACATCAGATACACTATGGCCTTTTACAAACCTGAGCTGTGTTTTTTTTTTTTTTCTACCACGCATTCCTTGGAGAAATCCAAACTGAACTGCATACAAATAAATGAGCAATGTGGTTTGAATCAAGCAGCGTCAAGTGATTGCAATTCACCCCATTTCCCTCTGTGCAAGTGTTGAGGTGAAGAGAATTAACGTGACAGGTCAATGAGAGACTGCAGCTCCTGACTGGTCGCACAGATTCCTTTTTAGTGAATGTACAGTCAAGCATTTGCTAAAGAGTGTGTGGACTATATTTATCTGCAATCTCATAGTACTGTAGGAATTATTCTAGATACCAGTGTGAGGTGGATTTCCAAAATACATTTAAGTATGCAGCCGTTTGCAG